GGATGAGTCTAAAAATGGTCAAAAATTTGATGAAGTCTGTTACTGTTTAGTGAAAGACTGTTGGCTTTAAATAATTCACTCTTATGCCAGAAATATGATTTTTATTGCGTGAAGATGGAAGGTTCTGGAAGAAAAGTTTGGTAAGTGGACTTTTACTCGTATTTGATCTGATTCACATGCAGGAAGTTTCTGAAGGGCCAAAAACGGCAAACAAACTGGAACTAAACTGTGCTAATTTGGGTAAATTCTGAATGAAGTCTGGTGCTGTTTGCTTGGTCAGGAGTTTTGAAATATTTGAGTCTTATTTATACTCAAAGACAAACCTGAACAAGGTGAAAGTGCCACGGGCTGGTCAAAATGGTGCACTGCAGCGTGTCAGGAACATCAGTGGTTTTAGTTTTGGTCTCTCCCACGGTAGTTTTGCATAAGTTTAAATTCAAAACAAGCTGTTTTAGCTCCTCCCTCTTCGAGGCCAGCCTCATTCTCAGATGACCATTCAGATCAAAATCCAAATTCATTTTAAAATCACATTTCAAAACAAAGTTGATCAAAGAAACAAAAGGTTACACACAAATTGCAAAAACACAAGTGATGATATAACAGCCTGAATTCATAAGCTCTCACGACAAGTTCAAAGGCAAAGAATAAAAATGTGAACATGGAGCAGCGACTCGTTCTTAAGTGTAGGCTTTGGAACAGAGGAGTAGCTGGGCAGCATATCTCTGTGACCTTGAAGGACATTTAAAAAAACAAAATCTTAAAATCGATCCTAAAAAGCACAGGAAGCCAGAATGGAGGAGGCTACAGCTTACGGGTTCAGGTAAGAGGGCACCATGTTGGACTGAGTGAAAGGGAAGGCCTGATATTTACCAACGTAAAGGGCATAACAACAGTCAAGTGAAGCTGTAATGAAATAATGATAACTTAAAATTATTTAAAGATGAGGGCCTGACCTTGGAAGTCTCAACAGGTAAACACCTAATTTCACAACAGAATGAATCTGATTGTCCAGTGCCTACTGGTGTTGGCCAGAGGGGCCGATGGCGCGATATGGCAGCCTCGCTTCTGGGCAGCTGTGGCTACAACTGTAGCTGCCTCCACCAGTGTGTGAATGTGAGAGTGAATGAATAGTGGAATTGTAAAGCGCTTTGGGTGCCTTGAAAAGCGCTATATAAATCCACTCCATTATTATTATTATTAGTGTTAGGTCAAAGTCCATTTTCACACGAAGGTCCAACTGCTGGAGCAACTTTGTCAAAGTATCACAACCTCAGTCTGACTGTCATAAAAGGTTTGGCCTTAATTTTTTACAGTTTAATCAGTTGCCATCATTTCTTTTATGGAGCAAATAGATTTGGTAATCATCAGAAGTGAAATGAGATGATGTATCTTTCAGAAATGATCCTAGAGGGAGAGAAAACATTGGGCTCCAGAATGGAGCCTTGTGGGACTCCGTAGAGGAGCAGTGCTCAGCCTAAACCACTCTCGAGCTGCGCCCTCTCTGTGACATCATGCTGGTCCACAAGTAGAAAAAAATGATTTCAGTTCAGTTCAGATTTCAAACGTCACAAATCTCTCACATCTCAAAACTCGCTCTCTCTCTTTTTCTACTGTCTCTCGCTCTCACTGTCACTCCTAAAACTTCTCTCTCTTCCTAAACAACCAAATGTCATGTTGCCATATCATTTTTGATTGGTTGATGTGGTGCATTTTTCCACCAACACAAAAAGGCAGGTTTTTGTTTTGCTTATATGTCACCTTGTTGCTTTGTCATCTTGAAGTGGTCATGTGATTGGCTTACCACGACTACTTTATTCTTGCAATTGTTTTGACCCCTTAGCAACAGGTGTTGTGCCAGAAAGTGATCGTCGGGCAGAAAGTGATTGCTCCACTCATGGGAGCCTGCGCAGCTGCTTAAAGCTGTAGCGCCCAGATTACTGACATGCAGTAAGCTGGACACAGCTTCAACCGTCTGTTTGTTGAAAAACAGTAATGTGATCACACCGCCTTTTCCTGTCAGTAACTGTAATGGCGTTGTAACAATAGAAATAGTAATTAGTTAGATTACTCGTTACTGAAAAGCTGTTACTTGTAACGCTGTTATTCCTATCCGGTTGTTCAGTGATGACGCGACGAATCTTACTTCCGGGTCTAAAGTAGTCTGCGTTTAATATGGCTTTTGTGTTGTTAACATGTTTAATGTTATGTATTTTCTTCTATTTGATCTCAAAAAGCTCCTAAAACAGTCAGTGATCCCTGTTGACCTCCCTCGGCTTTTATTACCGCTAATCATTTATTTAAGCTCAGTTTTTAAAACCTTAGGATGTAACTACAGCCCAGCCCATGCAGCAGTATATGAATGACTAACCTCGTATTGTGGATGGATTATCTCAGTTGTTCTCCTGGCTGAAGTTTGGTCCTTTTACAGCATCCTGCCATGCGATTACATTTGTTCCTGACCACCGAGAACACTCACGTTAACTTTTATCGAGTGGAAAAAAAGTTAGCTTGTTTATATTATGCTAACATAGCTGTGTCGCTAGCGGTCACGTAGCACATCATTATATACCAGCTAGCCAAACTTCAGTAACCCTACAAACATCACTGCTGTTTAGTTTTCTGTCTTCATTTATGCTGGAAGTGATAACAGAGCTGTACGTTTGAATTTGTTTCCAAAACCCCGCAGTCAGGACATGCTATATTGTATTTAGATAGAAGCTAGCGAGCTAACTCCCTGCTAACTTCTAACTCCGTTAAATGTCATAAATTCCGTTTTCATGGATGCCTGGATGTTAAACTCAATTGTTACACCTGGTAGAGCAGAACGCTGATCATTTTATTAAAGATGAAAGACTTTAGACAGTTTTTCAACTCTCAGTAATGCCACAGTGATCGTTTGATATATGGACCTGCAGCGGAGTTTAGGCCCAGACACGGCTAGTGACGTCAGACTGAACAACCAGATTACTGCAGATAGCACGCTGCCCCCTGGTGGTGAATGTTTGTTACGTAATGAGGAGCGAAATCTACCTAAGTACCTTCAAAGTGATCCACCTTAATTCAGTTCTCATTCCTTGCATCCATTTCGCTTTGTTTCAGTGTCTCACCTTGGGATGTGCCTCCCTGCAGATTCCTCAGTAGCATTTATCTCATTCTGCCAATCCTGATTGGCTGATGATCACAACAACCATGTTGGGCAGACATTCACCTTTAAATAGCCTGCGCTATTACATAGTCGTTTTTCAAGATAAGCAACTCTTTACGCTTCCGAGCATATCTCAGCTTTCTTTGGCTGAGATATGCTAGCTAAGCCTTCTTAGGCTAACTAGCTTAACTTTCCACAGCCAGGAGCGTTAGCATTATTTCCCGTCACTGGGCACTAGCTACCTCTGCCCGTCTCTCCTATCTGCACGGTTTAGCACACCAGCTAACGCCGTTGTCCTTTGGCAAAGGCTAGCAAACCAGCTAACTTGCATCCCTCATCATTAGCATCCCAGCTAGTGAAGATGACATCTTTCCCTCACAGCAGAGGAAGCGTAGACTCCGAGAATGACTCTGTATACGTGGCAACAAAATCTCGAGCAAGGACACACTGGGTCTTCTTGTGTTGCCTCGGGCTGGAACATGCCCAGGTATTCTGAGGAATATGCCGGCAGGCGCATCCCATAGTGTGACATCTGCTACTCTGAGAACCGGGGTTACTGAAGTAACCTAAAGCTTTAAGCTCCAGTGATATCTGCATTAGTACTTTTACTTCTGGGATGATTCAAAACGTTTATACCCAGTGGAGTTAGCTCACAGCATCTCGATGGCCCTTGGGGTTAGGTTCTAGTTTTATGTGTAGGAAGAAGGTCTCAGGTTCAAATCCCGGGGACAGGTACAGAGTGAGCACACCAACATGAAGCTCAGGCTGTGTTTCAAATCAAATTTGTGTTTTGCTCTTTACTTCATTTTAAAACCCTGATTCAGACACCACACCTGGGCACACCTGAGGACTGAAACTGTCTGAGATCTAATGACTCGGGTCTGTCTGCTGCTCCTCACTGTTCAACCACACAGGTGAGTCTCAAGGATTACATCCTCTCTCTCGCCTGTCTATGTGAACGTCTCTCTCTCTCTTTCCTGTCTGTGTGAACGTCTCTCTCTCTCTCTCTCTCTCTCTGTGAGTGTCTCTCTCTCTCTGTCTGAGTGAACGTCTCTCTCTCTCTCTCTCTCTCTGAGTGAGTCTCTCTCTTTCCTGTCTGTGTGAACGTCTCTCTCTCTCTCTCTCTCTCTCTCTCTCTGTGTGAACGTCTCTCTCTCTCTCTCTCTCTCTCTCTCTCTGAGTGAGTCTCTCTCTCTCTCTCTCTCTCTCTCTCTCTGAGTGAGTGTCTCTCTCTCTCTCTCTCTCTCTCTCTCTCTCTGAGTGAGTGTCTCTCTCTCTCTGTCTGTGTGAACGTCTCTCTCTCTCTACTGTTTAACCTGATGGCCAGCAGCGATCAGTGATACAGACGAACCGAACTGTAGCGGCTCCGTAGAGCAGTTAAGCCCACTGGATCTGCTCTCTTCTCCCGTGTGAACCTTCCTGGATCTACGGGGTATGGTGTCACCTCCTGAAGCCGGACAATCGGACGCTGAGGCCGGCGGCAGGCAGCGTTAGCTGACCGAGCTGCGGGCTTTGAATTTCGGCCTCACTGTCAGGATTATATCGGGACTTTTTTGCCGGGTATTCGGAGTATTACTGGGGGAATAGCCTGGCCGTGGACACTTCGGGAAGGTTCGGTTCTTAATGCCCCGGAGGCTCCGAGAAGAGCAGACTGCGGAGCCCCGGAACAGGGCTCGGACACCGGGGGAGTGCGAAGGTAGGGCAGGCTGCGGGGAGGAACCGTGTACCCGCTCTTAGTATACGTGTGTGTGTACGTGACAGGTGCGGGGCCGGGGATTATCGATGACTGGATGAGTTTCGGGCTGATCGGTTTGCAGGTACACTACACCGAACACCAGGTGAGTGTTTTGTGTTGGAGGAAGAGGTTAGCATGTCGTTAGCTGTTAGCCTTGCAGCATTCCATTGTCACAGACAACATGCTAGCTGAGTAACAAGGATGGAAACGGTAAAAAAAAAAAAAAAAATCTGCCAAATTAAAAATATCGGAAGTCATCTGCGCCCTCATTCCGCATCCAATGTAATAACAGTACTCAGTGAAATGAGCCCTGCTGTTTACACGCAGGGGACTGCTGTTGGTGTGTTAGCATGCTAATGCTAGCCAGTGCTGCTACTAGCTTTAGCCGGAGGAGCCCCACTTCCCGGCTGCTGTAGCAGGAGCTGCCTGCTAGTTAGCGCGTTAGCATCAGCTCCCCCTCCTCCCCCTGGTTGCAACACCGCTAGGAATCTCAAAATGTCTTCTGACACTCATTTTGTTTCCATCTGTGCGGTCAGACGGAGGCAGCAGGCGGTGGCAGAGAAGTGTGACGGACACAGCACCGCTCGGCTCGGCACGACACAGCAACTTATATTAGACTTAACCCATTTATCAGGCGCATGCGTGGGCGGCGTGCACGCGGGCAGACTGAAACCGATTTACAGCGTTTACTGTGAAAAAAAACACATCACGGGCCGCTGTGACGGTGCACCAGTGACATGTTCACGAGCAGGGGACGCTGTTTAACCACAGCACTCTGATACTCCATCAGCCCAGCACGACACGGGCTCCAGTTCTCCTACACTGGTGGAGGAGAAGGTTTTAAACTTGCACCAACTGAGCTGCCTGCAATTCTGCCAGCATCCAGCAGGGGCAGCAGGGAGTCAGTCCCCATAGACTTCTGTGTTTAAACTTGGAGCAGAAACAAACATGTTTACGGCCGGATACACAAACTGTTTGGTCTCATAACACCTGTACGGGGGAGCATGTTGTTACAACTCACCTGTTTAAGTTGTATTAAGCCTTAAAGGTTCTATTTTAGGGGCGTGGCCTCTTTGACTGACAGGTGGATGGTGACACCTGTAGTTGCTAGCTTCACCTGAACGGGACCTCTGGGCCTGTTTGTGCTGGTGGAGCATGTATAATGACGTCATGTGGCCAATACCATGGCTGCTGTGAGGTCACTGTACTAACAGGCTGAGCTCCAAGTTTACCGAGTGAAACTCTGGGATTTTGTCTAATTAGCAGGTGTGTGTGTGTGTGAGGGAGCTGCTGATCGATACACATTTAACACATCTTTAAAAATTATGCGTGTTTAGCTTTAATCGTGATTTATCTCTGAGGTATGGGGCAGGTAGTGTGGAGCTCAGGTGAGTCAGCTGCTGGGAGAAACAGGTGTGCACACACAGGGTTACCTGATTGGTTGATGGACAGGTGCGGAGTTCAGGTGTTGGTAGACTTTAAACTTTCCACTCATGTGTAAATCATTTCCTTTTTCCTGCTTTCTGTTTACCTGAAACAACCTGCTTGTTGCCTCGAGCTGAGTCCTTAATGTTTGTGCATGACACGCTTAGTGGGCGGAGCTGAACTGGTGGAATGCAGGACGCTGCCTGTCAGAAATCTTCACACCAAAGTCCACCTGCTAATCAGGGACACGCCCACTGAGGGTGACTGCAGGTGTGCTTTGAGTGCTCAGCTGTTCGTGTGCAGGGACAGAAACACTCTTGTTTTCACTGAGGTGCAGTTTGTGTTCGTATCATAGCAGCCAGAGTTCAGCAGGTGAGTGTGACGACTGCAGCAAGCTGATCCACAGGTGAAACGTTTTCTACCTGAAACTCCTCAAACGTCAGGGTCGGCCCGTGATGTGCTGCAGGTGTGTCTGTGGGTCAGAGGAACGAGGAGTCTTACCTTCTGACCGAACACCTGCCGTATTCACGTCTGCTGCACCTGGGAGGATGTCTGCCTGGTTTCAGGTGACGCTGGTTGGTCGGGCACGCTGGCCGGCTCTCGGTGTCACTGCGAATCAGGAAAGTGAACTTTAAATAAGAAGAAGATTCCTGATCTTTCAGACTTTAAAAGGTTAAATCTGTAAATAAATGAGCAGCAGGACTGCGTCTGATTGGTGACGTGTTTTAGCTGAGTGGTAAATGGCCTGTATTTGTAAACCACTTAGTCCCTGTGGACCAATAAGCTCTTTACGCTACATCCACACAGTGGTGATGGCAGCTACATTGTAGCCACGGCTGCCCAGCTGACAGAGGCGAGGCTGCCGGACACTGGCGCCACCGGGCGCTCTGACCGACAACAGTAGGCAACGGGTCAAGCGTCTTGCCCAAGGACACAACGACAGACTGTCCGAGCCGGGGCTCAAACCGGCAACCTTCCAATTACAAGGCGAACTCTCAACTCTTCAGCCACGATCGCCCCAGGAAGGAACGCCGCGTCCTGATAAACGCTGTTTTGTGGAGTGCGTGGAGTCAGCGTACTCACAGCCATCAGGTTATTAATGACCCGTTTGTGTTCCAGCCTCGTTCCTGTTTCGCTCTCAGAGTCACGGCAGCTTTTTAATGTCAGTTTGTGAGCAGAGAAGAAGAGTTTGTGATGTCAGCAGCTCGTCATGTGACAGAGTGGCTGTGAAACAGTGTTTGTTGAGTTTCCTCCTCTGACCTCGTCAAACCTCAGATTGTGACTCGGGTCACCCATCAGGCTGCTGCTGGTTCTGAAACGACTGAATCTGTGCTTCCTGCTGATCCTACTGATGTTTGAGACAAACTGAAACTCGTCACCAGATCGCGTGACACTCCTGCCGACGCTCCCACTGCAGCGTTAGAACGTTTTCGTTTCACGGTGTGAAACCTCCTCCGCCTTCACACTACAAACACACCTGCAGCGGGCTCTCCTCATGGGAGGAGACTTGGATCCTTGTTTTTTTGTTTTGCCTCATTGTCTGATTTGTCATAACTTCTCCGTTTTGTGGTAAGCTTTTCTTTGGCTGTCACTTCTTCACCCTGACCTGTCTTATTTGGCTCAGCAGAACTAAAATATATGTCCTGCTGCTTTTACACACACTCACATAACGCTCAGCGATCAACCTCTCACATGTTTAAGCTGCGGGAGATTTCACTTGTCACGTTTGAACAGTAAGCTAATGAGTGATAAGACGACGTCAGAGGAATTGGTGCACAATTAATCGTCACTGACCAATCAGTGTCACATATTGACAGTGGCTCATCGATGCCAGTGACATAATTACTCAGCTACATTGGCGAAAGCATTGACATATATTTTCCTTGGTAGCCCGACTGGAAAAATTGCTAGCCCCGGGACGTCGAGCTAGCGATTTTGCGAGCCCTGATATGTATTGTCAGATTAATATGATATATCACAGCAGTGAGCTTGAACTCTGTGTCAAAGATTCAAGTTGCAGTTATTTATATTTCCTGTCACCTTAAATCTTCACTCAAACACAAGCATCTGTGACAGTGTGTATACAGATGTTTTATATATAGGAGACAAATATTGTTCTTTTAATATGTTGGCATTACTAAATTTGGCTCAATGCTTACATACATGTGTAAAAAGCAAATGTAGGAGCTGTGATAACTGTTTCTGATAGAATGAAGAGTAGACTGATATATGAAATATTCCTTTATTGGGTAAGAAAATCAGACCATGTCATAACTGCTGTAAGTCACACAGAATAGATATCAGAGCCTTAAACAGGCTGACGTCTGCTAAATGGGTCAAACTGGGCAGAAAGTCTACAAACACATAACATCCTTATAGAATATGATGTAACACTATAGATCAACTTAGCTCAGAATATATAAAGCATATAAACAGTTACAGCAATATGATGCAACAAACACAGCAGCTACTGATCCAAAATACTCAAAGCTTCATAAAACTGAAACCAACATTTATTTTAGCTCCATTTTGCTGTTCTTCATTATTAAACATTCACACACAAATAAGTGAGATAATATTCACTACTTACTTTTAAAAGTTTACTTTGCAGCCGCCCTGCTTCAGCCATCCACTGTTTTTTTGGGGGGTTTTTTTGGCAAAATTATCCACACCCACCGCCGCGCTATGAAGTCTGGGATATGTTGGGCCATAAAGGATACACCGACCCATCCTTAAAATTCAGGGAAACGAAGGACGCCTTTGAATCGTTGCGTCGCTGTGACGTAATCAGCCTTTAAGGCTGCAGACCCTGAATAGGGATACAACCAGTGCATGCAGGTTTCTTTAAACGGGAGGATTTTTGAATGGACTTTGGTGGAGAAACTTCAGCGCAGTGTCATGGTCTGTGTGTAGAGAGACTGATGGGAAATGTAGTTTGCACCAAAGTCTGAATCAGCTGATTGGAGACGATGTCTGTCTGTCTTTCAGAACGCTGTCTGATTGACTCCGCCCACCATGAACCCTCTAAACCAGATGAAGGCTGGACTAGCCAACAACCCACACAGGTACACACACACACACACACACACACACACACACACACACACACACACACACACACACACACAGCTGTCATCTTTACACACGTTTACTTTTACTCTAATATTTTTGTCCTGAAACAATCGAGTCAGATTTCAGTGGATTCACTTTAAATTGATAAATCATGAATTTGACTCCGATCCCAAAAATCTACAAAATAAACTGACAAAAGCTTCTTCAGCTCATAATTATACACATTTTTATATATATATATATATATATATATATATATATATTAGGGCTGCCACAAACGATTATTTTGATAGTCGACTAGTCACCGATTATTTTTGCGATTAGTTGACTAATCAGATCATCATCCATTGGAGGTAAAACGTACAGCTTATTGCACCAGCAGCATCTGCTCTTATATAACTATCATTAGCTTACAGCTTTAAGTGTTTAAGGTCTGTGCTAACTAAAAATAAAGACAAGATGATAGTTTATTAAATTTTAATGAAGTTTGCAGATTGTTTCGGTGAAGTTTAATAAACTCCTTGCTATCTAAAATATAACAGGACACCGGAGTATATTCTGGAGCATCTCACACTTCTGATAATCAGCTGTCTGCTTGACGTTTATTCAGCTGTGTAAAAACTTTAATCTCAGCCAAACCGATTTACTCAGGAACAAATAAAATACTAAAAAAAGCCAAACAATAACATTTTAAGTTATCTAAGTGACTTATATATATATTTAACCTGAGTAGCGAAAGACGGCGGTGGGTTTGAAAACGATTTGCGGGGAGTCCGGTGTTCTCACGGCGCTAGTGACCTAGCCCCTGGCTAGCTATCGAGCTGGTGGGTAACAGATGTCTCCGAAAACGTCGGAGCGCTTTTGAAAATATGCGGTGTCCTGATAAACTGAGCAGATATTTGAGGTTTACACAGCTACATTCTCGGCTGAAAATATGTTAAACGTTTATTTTGTGACCCAGAAAGAATAATAAGAGTAATATTAAAACTAACTAGCTGCCGCCATTGTTGGAAACTGCGCTGGGCCGCGCTATGAATTCTGGGACAGAGCTGCTTCTTCTTCTTCTTCTTCGGGGTTTAACGGTAGCTGACATCCTTGTACATGCAGTGCTGCCATCTTCTGTTTCAGTCCGTTATTACACTCTTAAATCCTGCTACTTATTCCTGCGTCTTTTGTGATCTTACAAAGCTTCAAACGACGCGTCGACTATTAAATCAGTCGTCGACGATTTTGATAGTCGACGTAATCGTGACTAGTCGACTAATCGTGGCAGCCCTAATATATATATATATATTTGTGCTGCTGTGTAAGACTGCATAATTGTTTTACTCATGGACCCGCCCCCCCCACAGTGACGGCTCGTACCCCTACGACCCCTCCAGCTGGCAGCAGCCCACCAATCAGCCCACAGGATCGCTCTCCGTGGTCACAACTGTCTGGGGAGTCACCAACCCCTCGGCCAGCCAGGTATGACATCACCAAGCAGAAGGATGTGACATTATCGATCATTTGTGGGGCGATCGTGGCTCAAGAGTTGGCCACATCTTGTAATCGGAAGGTTGCCGGTTCGAGCCCCAGCTCGGACAGTCTCGGTCGTTGTGTCCTTGACTTGACCCGTTGCCTACTGGTGGTGGTCAGAGGGCCCGGTGGCGCCAGTGTCCGGCAGCCTCGCCTCTGTCAGTGTGCCCCAGGGTGGCTGTGGCTACAATGTAGCTGCCATCACCAGTGTGTGAATGGGTGGATGTGTGAATGGGTGGATGTAGTGTAAAGCGCTGTACAAATACAGGCATTTGCCTTTTTTTTCTTTTTTTTCTTTTTTTTTTTTACCATTTTTAATCACTCAACGTCACTTCCTGTCTGATGAACGTTTACTTCTGTTCTCATCAGGGTCTTGGTGGAGGCGTGATGGGGCCCGGGGCCAACCCAGGCGGGGGTCCTATGATGCAGGGCCCCGGGGGGTCGGGCATGGCCGGCGGGCCCGGAGGCTACATGGGCCAGCAGGGCTATGGAGAGCCCAGCAAAGGCTACATGACCCAGGGCATGTACGGCCGTACGGGCGGGGCCTACACAGGAGGACCGGGCGGGTACACAGGGAGGTGGGTGTCTGCTTCAGCGTCACGTTGTAGCCAACGGTAGCATCAGAAACTGAAATAAACTGACCTGCTGCTCCGGTTTCTGTCCTGAGGGCGGATGCTTGGGTGCAGCTCACTAAGCTCCGCCCTCTCATCCAGATATCGAGGGGTCTTATCTGTCCCACATCAGGTGGTGATGTCAGTGATGTCGTTTGTTTGCAGCTATCCGTCGAACCCCGGAGGCTCCCGAGGCTCCGCTGACTTCACTCAGGCTGCCGCTGCCGCCGCCGTTGCTGCTGCTGCTGCCACGGCAACCGCCACTGCTACAGCAACCGTCGCCGCCATCCAGGAGAAACAAAACCAGGAGATGAACTATGGACAGGTGAGCAGAAGCATGAGGTCACTGGGCGCCTGTGTGCTGCCCACCTGGGTTAGAGCTCCCTCTGCTGGTCCACTCGTGCAGGTGAATAAACAGAAAAACACTGTCACAGAAACGCTGTGGGAGGGACGAGGTCTCAAAGACAGGTGGAGGTGTGTTTGGTGACGGGGTCGAGTTTAAACCTGAGGTCGGTGCTGGCGGCACCGGAGCACGACGCCTCTGCTCCAGCACAGTCCAGATTTGTCCTCTGTCAGCAGACAACCAGTATTTCCTCACTTTTAGCCGAGCTTGTGCTGAGGACACCTGTTTGATGACATCACTGATAAATTTGTCGTGGTTTTTTCCCAGATGGGTGGTCCAGCCTACAATAACCAGTTCATGGCCCACTCCGGCCCCCGCGGCCCTCCTGGCATGGCTCCTGGAGGTATGGGCCCAGGTCCAGGCCCCGCCAGAGGTCCCCCTTCAATGGGCCCCATGTACGGACCAGGAGGGGGCCCGCAGAGGGTCCCCCAGCACCCAAACTACGGCCCTGGACCACAGCAGGGACACCTGAGGCCCCCGCAGGGCCTCAAACGACCATACAGCTCAGAGGTGAGGCTCGGGAGTCCGTGCTGCTGACCCTCAGGTTACTGTGTCAGTGAGTGAATTCACACCTGTGTCCACACCTTTCCCGCCCTCAGTCCTTCCCGGGAATGTCCCAGCAGTACGGCGTTCCCGTCGGTTCCAGTGTGAACGTCATGCCGGGTCCCGGAGGTGGCGGTGGATCCATGCCTGGTTCAGCTGGAGGCGGTCACGGTGGCCCCTACTCGGGCCCCAACATGCAGTACCACCCAGGTAGGACGCTGTTGGTTTCACAGGTCAGTCTAACGAGAACCCACCCCTGCCAGTCCTGACAGGACAGGAAGTGACCTCAGCCTGGTCAGGTTTGTAAGGCTGGTCTGACGACAGGTGTGAACCGTGTGCAGGTGCTGGGTCCTCGTACCTGCCCACGCCACAGTAAAGCTCACAGGGAACGCTGGAGCAGAACGGGCCTGGGAAGTGTTTGTTTTCTTTGGTGTTGTTTTACATGGTTCCTGAAGTTTAACGTCACATGACGCCATCAAACAGGATTAACTGCACCCTGTCTGCAGGTGTTTCCAGGTGGTGTGAGGTGGAGGTTTCACCACAGCTGATGATGGAAAGCAGACCTCGTGTTCTGATTATTCAGGTGTGCTTTCTCCTCGTCTTCCTGCAGGTCCCGCTGGTCCAGGTCCCGCCCCACCACGGTCTGGCTCCTCCCCCTCCTATCAGAGCCATAAAATGCCCCTCCC